CTCTTGAATTCATAATTCAAATTCAAGAAAGAGTTAAGAGTAGAGTTCAAGAAAGTCTTCAAATTCAATTGTGAATCCTTTGAGATCAATTATCGATTTGAGCTTAGTTTTGAGGAAGTAATTATGATAATGAGAAGAGTCGTATACATGAGTTCCATATTGTTATGTAGACCTGATAGAATATGTGTGTCCATTATCAATCAACGGACCATGTCCCTTGACTCAACAAGAACAATAATAAAGAATAGACAATGAACAGAAGACAACACAAGCAGTTTATGTGAAAATCTCCTTGCTCAAGGGAGTAAAACCACGACCTGTCACACAGGATTTTCAAGTGTTTTCACTAATGTCTTCAAGCAAAAGTGAAGCACAAATACAACACCAAATGAGATTAAGTTATTAATCTCAATGCTAAGTAATAACCCTATTACTTATTGAGCCTATGCAGATACCACACTACCCACTAAGCTATCAACCCTGGACAACTTAGACTTCAACAAAGGAGATACAACACTGCCTACCAAATCAACTAGCTCCTAGAAGACTTAGAATTTGGCTATTCAGATACAACACTACCCACTAAATTGGTTAACTCTAACCAATTTAGACCTTTACAAATCAAACAAAGATCTGAATCCTTTATAGATTAGGAACAAATTTACAATGTAAGCACGAAATTATGACTCCTAAAACAACTATGGTGCTTGCAACTTGATCAGGTCCCTGTTGAACTGTTTTGAGAATACTTCACCGAGATGGTCTTTGCTTGTGTAGTTGAGAATTTTCAAGATTCAAAAACTAAAGTTGTCTATTGAACATAACCTTTATGAATAATAGAAACAACCTTCAAGACCATGCTATTGGCCGAGGTTTCTTCCACAGTTGGAGACTGTGCATAGACCAATTATACATTTTACAGCCTTGCATTTGTGTGTATATTGACACAAGGATCAGGTCTCTTTACAAGGTCCCATGGTTTTTTCAAATAGTCAAAACTGCAAATAATATTTCCCCCCTTTTTGATGATAACAAACTACACACAAATGCCTCCATTATTCCCCCTACCAACCTTGTTTCATTCCCCCTGTCAGCCTGCCAACCCGCCTTCCCAACATAAGAAACCACCCAACCTAGGCAGCCAACATTTTTCCCCCTTTTGGCATCATAAAAAAGAAGTGCACTAAACCAGCATGACAAGTAAGTTTGCAAAGTTAGATCATAGCCATGGGCAACACATACATGGTAAAAAAGCAAGATTAAAGAAGGATTAATCACAACAAAACAGGAACTAACTTAATTGCACGAAAGATAGAATTCAATACATTAATAATTAAACTGATATTGAGAACCTCGGAAACTGTCCACACAAAATAAAGACACATGAAGGGAAAGGGATGGACTATATAGATGGAGGCTGATGGGAGAGGGACTTGATAACAAGAGTAAGTCGAGCATTGGCTTCATCATTATCTTTGTTCAGTTTCTCTTGTAGAGCAGCATTCTGAGTTAGAAGAGCAGCATTTTGTAACCTTAACTCTTTAACTGCCTCAATACTAGGTCCCTCAGTCAGTGCTTTGAGCAGTTGAGACTTTAACAAGGCAATCTCTGCATCCTTGTTACTCACAAGCACAATCACTCCTCCAATTCGTGCTTCAGTTGATTTTGTTCCATTACCAACTGAGACATCTGGCTCAGTGGTCTTGCTCTCCCTTCAATGCACTCACCCTCAACCAGAGTATTCAGAGAGAACGACTGTTTAGCAGTTCCAACAATACCTAGTCCTACTGGAATCTTAAGATGTTTAAACAATTTAGTGAGACACTACCCGTAACCCATCCCATGTTTGCCTTTGTGTTCAATGTTGGTTTTATTCATATGCTCCAACATTAGGGCTGGGAGATTGACTGGTTCAAATTTGCAGAGTGATTTCATTAAAAATAGGTCAGTCGTAGCCCCTGTGCGTTTCTTAGTTCGAGGAAAGAGTACCTTATTGATAAACTCAGACAACAATTTGTATTCTCCCTTCATGAGTTTCTTTTGAACACCCGCAAGGCACATGTCAGGAAGTTTGGAGCATTCTTTCACAAACTGCCTGGTGTACGACTTTCCCACCAAGGATCTGGTCCCTTCTCTAGGTACCTCCAGTATTTTTTCCAGCAGTGCTTCATCCAGATGTAGACTTTCATTACCTACCAAGGTGTTGAGACTGCCATCATCTGCAAATTCTACATTGTAGTAGAACTCTCAAACTTTTTCTTCATATAGAACGGGAGATTTGGTCATGAACAAGTGAGTCCATGATTGAAGCTCCACAAGATCAACCAATGAATCCATACCTGGCTTCGTAAGGATTTCCATATCAAACACCCTCCCTCATAGAAACTTATGTAGGCGTAGATTATCAAAAATCACTTGCTTGTTCTGTTCCTTTTCATTCTTATTTCATTTAGTAAATGATTCATGTTCAGAGGTTTGCTTGAGAATAGGGCAAGTTTCTATCTTCCGCTTTAATGGTTCCCTCTTCTTTTGAGGATCATTCCCTTTTCCTTTTGTGGTGTCAGCCTTCTTGACTGTAGATGTTCTAGATTTCACCTTGCTTGTTTTCTTCACTTGTTTCCCTTTTCTCTTTTTAACAAAAACTAAAGGGGTGTCTTCATCCATAAATTCATTTTCAGATACTTTGATGCAGACATCCACCACATCATCAGAAGGCAAATCGATTAACAAATCACCAGACCTTCTTCTCCTTCGATTTTATATTGTAGTTGTTTCACTTGACTTCATCGCATCACCCATGAGTTTTTGTCAGATTTCTCTAGTGAAGGGTCTCTCTTTTGGAGTTTCTTCTGTGACCTTTTCTTTTCCCTTAGCAGTGATAGGGACCATTCTCCTTTGCAATGCCCACTTAAGAGATACGTCGTCCTCGTCAGTGTCACTTGAATCAGTAGAAGAATGGAGACCAACCTCAAGTGTTTGATCAAAGATTGGTTTAGTATCCCTAAGAATTCCCTCTACAAAACTGGCTCCTTCATTTGCGAAACTACCTCCTGCTTCATGAATCACCCCTTCTCTCATCTGTGCCAGACTTTCGATAACTATGCTTTCACTGGATGCTAGAATGTTTGTCCCTGAAGAACTGCTCAGTGGAAGAACTCCCTCGAACAAATGGTCAGATAACATAGTTGAAAGGGACCAAGTTGATACGATGGTGCAGGGTTGTTAAGGTCTATGGGAGACTAGGGAGTAAGAAGACAGGCTTTAGTAGTGTCGACTAGAGAGATAGTCGACACTGTTGTTGGAAATGGAACAGAGGATGATGTGTAGAAGGTAACTGGATCTATTTCATTTGGGGCATCCATTATTTTATTCGAGGAAGATGGTGACTGGGACATATTAGAGAGAGGAGGAGAAATAATACTGGAGAGAGAAAGATTAAGTTATATTTGCAATGAAATTTGTGAGAAAAGAGATTGAAATGTGAAGAGACAAAATGGGGGGAAGGTGTATAAAAAGAAAGTGAAACGATGTGTCAGGTCCTTGAGTAGACTCGTCGCTTGGACTTAAAGTGATGGGAAAATGGTCAGAATGGCCGATGACTGACACATGGAGATCTCAAATGTTCTCATTTAACCGTTTAAGAAAAAATATAGAGAGTGCTAACCTTTAGTTAGGACCAGGTCCCTATTTGCACGAGAATTTTGATTCCTGAATGGTTCTGACCATTCTTTGCTCCTGTGATTTTCCATGAGTGTATACTTACAGTAGGCACATAGTTGATCTCACTTAAACAAAGCATTACAAGTAATGAGGATACCTGCCCTTCTGATCATAGCTAAAGGAAGATTGGATGCCTTTGGCTAGGGTTAGCTCAGTACATGTTCATCATCCCCAACTTCAACCTGTTACTCTCAAATTGATCCTTACTGATGGCCTTTGTTAAAATGTCTGCAATTTGATCTTCAATTCTGCAAAACTGCATGCTGATGTTCCCCTTCTTAATATTGTCTCTTAAGAAGTGATGCCTGGCATCAATGTGCTTTGTTTTCTTGTGCTGGACTGGATTATTTTCCATGTTGAGTGCACTGGTATTATCGCATGTGAGAGGAATGATATGGATGAGTACTCAAAAATCCTCAATTTGCTGCTTGATCCATAGTAGTTGTGCACAACATGATGCAACAACTACATATTCAGCTTCAGCCGTGGAGAGAGCCAATGAATTTTGTTTCCTGGTTCCCCAAGAGATGAGTGAGGACCCTAGATAATGTGTCATTCCTAAAGTGATCTTCTTGTCCACCTGATAACCTGTAAAATCAGCATTTGCATACCCTACGAGATCAAAGGAGTCCCCTGCTAGATAGAAGAGGACCAGGTCCCTGTCTTCTTTAGGTACCTCGGAATCCGCTTAGCTTCTTTCAGATGTGACTCTTTCGGACATGCTTGAAACCTTGAACACATGCCTACACTGAAGACAATGTCAGGTCTACTTGTTTTTAGATATAGCAGTGAACTAATAATACCTCTGTACATGGTTTGATTCACCAAAACATCTGACTCATCTTCTCCCATCTTTGAGTTTGTACCCATGAGGTATCAATAGGCTTAGAGTCAACCATATGAAACTTCTTTAGCAAAACTTTTATGTACGTCTCTTGACAGATTGAGGTGCTACTAGAGGTTTGCTTGATCTGTAGTCCTAAGAAGAAGTTCAACTCTACCATCATGCTCATCTCAAATTCATTCCCCATAAAAGTAGCAAATTCTTCACAAAGAAATGCAGAGGTGGCTCCAAAAATGATATCATCCACATACACATGGATGATGAGCAGTTCATTTTCCCTTTTCTTCAACAACAAAGTTTTATCTATCTTGCTCCTTTTGAATCTATTCTTCAAAAAAATAATCTAGAAAACCGCTCATACCAAGCTCTAGGAACTTTTTCCAATCCATACAGGGACTTGTTGAGTTTAAACACATGGTCTAGGCAATCAGCATCCTTAAAGCCAAGTGGTTGTTTCACATACACTTCTTCCTTCAGGTCTCCATTTAAGAAGGCACTTTTGACATCTATTTGGAAGAGCTTGAATCCCATGAGGGCCGCAAAAGAAAAAAAGAATTCTGATAGCCTCCATTCTAGCAATAGGAGAAAAAGTTTCAGCATAGTTGATGCCTTCGTCTTGATTATAGCCCTGAACAACCAGTCTTGACTTGTTCCTTGTGATAACTCCATTTTCATTATGCTTGTTTCTGAACAGCCACTTGGTCCCTATAATTGTTCTGTGTGTAGGTCTAGGAACCACGTGCCACACTTTGCTCCGCTCAAACTGATGGAGTTCCTCTTGCATGGAATTAACCCAATCAGCATCTTTCAAGGTCTCCTTCACATTTTTGTTCTCAATAGTTAATATGAATGCTGAAAATGCAACCAGATTTCTAGTCTTGGATCTGGTTTGCATTCCAGAATTCAATGGCGAAATGAGATTATCAATAGTATGAGAAGATTGATGCTTTCCTCCTGATTAAGAGCTCAGGGCTTGAGGTTGATCCATTTGTTCTTCTTCATCTTCGGAATCGTCATTCTCAGATTGAGGTGATTCCTCCTGATTTTCATTGTTGGATGGACCTGGTCCCTCATTGGGCTTGTCAGCTTCATTAACCTTCTTTGATTGACCAAGACCACCATCATCAGGGTTTTGACTTTCTTCAGCTCGTGGACCATTATTCATCTCTCTGAATTCTGAACAGCTCCTCAAGATCATCATCATCCTACAGTTCAAGATTCTTCAAATCACCACTTTCATCAAAAACCACATGAACACTTTCCTCAATGCCTAATGGTTTTTTTATTGAAACTCTGTAACCTTTGCTGGAAGATGACTACCCTACGAACACACCTTCATCACTTCTAGGATCAACTTTTCCCAAATCATCCTTGCCATTGTTTAGCACAAAACACTTGCAACCAAAACCCCTTAAATAATTCAATATGGGCTTTTTGTTGTTGAGTAGCTAATATGGTATTTTGTTCAGTACAGACCTGATCAAACACCTGTTAGTCATGTAGCATGCAGTGTTAACTGCTTCAGCCCAAAAGTTCTGAGGAAGACTTCACTCTATCAACTCCATTTTGTTGAGGTGTTCTAGGTGCTGAGAGGTTGTGATGAATACCGTTGTCTGCACATAAGGTATCCAACCTTCCATTCTCAAACTCAGTTCCATGATCAAATGTGATCCCTGCAATGTTGTAGTTAACCTTTGTTTGAATTATTTTAAAGAATATCATCAGCACATCAACTATCTCATGTTGACACCTAATTTTGGACCTCCACAATATATATTAATCATCGAGTTTCTTCAATTTCGAACGATTTGAAATAATTAATTTTATAGCATTCAAAATATTTTTCAAGTTATTTTAAAAGTAATTTTAGTTGCTTTTATAATTTTTAAATAATAAATATGTTTTCTTATATAATTTTATATATAATTAGTACATTTTATAAACATTCGAAAATCATCTCAAAAAAGATTTTGTTTTGTTTATATATCTTACTAATTAGTTTAGTTATATAATAGTTTATATTTTAAAATTATTTAGTTTATAATTAAGTTAATTATTCTATTTCGTTAAGTTTAAGAAGATCGTTAATTGATTAGTAACAATTTGTCTAATTTCATTTTTGGCCAAATTTAACCAATTGCCTCTTATTCGGTCGAAATTGCAATTCATTTGATTATTTTCGTAAGTTTAATTGACCACATTCTTGACTTCTCTTTCAAGACCCATTTGCCTCAAATAGCCCAGTCCAGCAATTTTCCAATTCTTAGGAAACCCAGCCCACATTACATTCAACAACAATACATCAGCAAACCAGAAACGACCCTGACCCCCTGCGTCTCTCTTCTTCTTCGCGTGAACCAGCAGTGAGAAATTGGCCCAGTAGTAAACGAACCCAGTTCAGCGATCCAAGCGACCAAATCGCGTAGCTTGCGTCACCCAACCTCGCCCTTATCCTCTCCGTACGAGAACGTACTCAAATTTTCCAATTGGAGCGTGCTCCATCCGAGTTCTTCCTTTCTCAAAGATCAAACGGTTCTCTTCACTTTTCCGTTGGTGATTGGAACTATTTCAAGCTGGCAACCTTATCCCTTCAAGAGAATTCGAATTTTAAATTGGAAATTGAATCCCGTTTCCTCCCTTTTCAATTCCAATCTCCCCTCTATAAATACCCTATCGTGTTCATTGTGAAAGGGGGATTTTTCTGAGAATATTTTCCATCATCTGAGACAGATAGTTTTTAACCACCAAAAACGCATGAAACAACACCAAAAACGGTAAAAAAAATCCATAGGCTTGTTCTGTTTCAAGTTTTATTTTTGATTCTCTACTTCTTGGGTCAAGGTCGGAGGTGTGGTGGAAGCTTCGTGGTCAAGCTCTTCCTCCCGGATCGCTGCTCCAAAGAAGGTATTTCTCTTCTCCTCTCAATTTTGTTTTGTCATTCTAGCTCAATTTAGATGCGCCTTATGTAACTTTAGTTCACTTTTGTTATTCAAGTTGATGATTTTTATTTGTTCTTCTTGATGAAAGATGTGATTGTGTATTTTTTAAAAGGGATGCGTTTGTGAACTCACCAGTAGCTACTATTTTCTTTTGATATGATGCATACATCTAAGATACAAATCGATTTGGGTGTTATATGTTATTGTTGCTTTGATTTCATTTTGTATTGAAAAGAGATGGGTTGATGTATCCTACCAAATTCATCAAGAGTTTTCCTCTTTCTATAGCTTGTAAATATGTGATTGTTTTCTACAAGTTTAATTAGTTTGTCTTAACTTTAGGATGCTTTCTTTCATGCCTTGTTCTTGATGTCATAGTGCGAAGATATAAGACATTGTTGAACTCTTTGTTTCAATTAGTATTGTCAAAATGTTCCAAAAATGCTTATTTTAATTCTTTGTTTAGAAGGCTGATGCTATGTAAGACATCCTGTCGTTATACAATTTAGTTGGTATAAACATTGAACATGTTTTTGTTTTTATGGGTTCTTTCGCTTTTACATTAATCTCATGTATGCATTTTTTCTAAAAAATAATATGATAAATTATGACTGAATAGCTGAGGCAAATGTGTATGACAACTACTTTAGGATAAGTAAAGTTTTTTTCTAAGGTTTGCCTTCTAATAGTTCTTTCATTTCACAAATTTGAAGTGGTAATATGTTTGTCTCCTATTTTTTATGTATTCTTAATATGTGACATCTTGTGATATTGTTGCCAATTTGCTTAGATTTTATTTATTTTTCTTTGGATATGGTTGAAACTTTTCTAAACCTATCTCGTTTCAATGTTTCTCGGTTATTAGATCAAATTCATTCATTAGTCATTTTCTAATACTTGTCTTTATTTCTTGCATGAACTCCCTCAGTTTGAGTCCATTTGACTCCCTGTTATTCCTCTCCATGCATTTCGAGTTGGTTCAAAACCCAATTCTCATCTTGAGTTAGCCCATTCATAATCAAGTCAGAGGACAGGTTGAAAGCTACAAATAAAGTCTGGAAACTGAAATTTCAGGTTCCGAAAGGCCGAAAATAGTCTGAGATACAGCCTGTATACACTGATATACAGTGGGGTATGTTGATATACAAGTCATAAATTGCAGGGATACATGTCCGTAGGAAAAAATACAAATCAGTGTTGAAAACGAACCCAAAATATAGTATGTATACAGTGGTATACATAGAATGTATAAACAAAATTCAAGTGTAAAAAGGGGTGAAAATGGGCTGAAACCCATCAGCAGACACCCACTCTTAGAGTTTAGGACAGGTTTGGGCCAACCCCAAGAATTAGAATTTGGGAAAAGGGCCCAAATTTGATATTTCCTTCTTTCTTGTATTTATTTATCATTGTGTTTACTAACCTTTACTTGTTTTTTTTATGGTTTAATTTAATTAAGTTTCCTAAGATAGCCTTTCTTATTTTTGAAATATCTATTATTTACTTATTTATATATTTAGTTACATATAATTTATTTTGTCTTAATAAGAATTTTGTCATATTTCCCTTAAAAGTAACAATTTAAAATTATCTTCCTTTTAAAACTTGGTTAAATTTTTAAAAGTTAATTGACAATTCATTTTAGTCAAATCGTCGGTCAACCGCAAGTTAGCGGACATTCCGAGGGCCTAATACCTTCTCAGAATGTACATTGAACTCGAACCCTTTTTATTTCAATTAATTTTATCTGTTTAAGTATTTTGAAAAATTGTAAGTTCTCTTAATTTCTTTAAAAAATTAAGTGGCGACTCTATTTTGGAAAATCGATTTCTGTTCAAGTCATAAGTTAAGTCTATTTTTTGGAAAACTAAAGTCATTTTTATTTTTATTTTCGAATAAAACAGACTGACGACTCTGCTGGAGATTTAATTAAGTTCTAACCATTGGATTTTACTATTTGACTAATTGTTATGAATTGTTGAATTGTTTATCTGTGCTTAATGTGTTTAAATTGCTATAATTGTCATTGCATTAATGACATTTTCTGTTTTATATATAGTATATTAAATAATGGTTTTGCGGAACCGCAACCGGGATTTTTTATTCTCAACCGTTTTCCGGAATGATAGACAATTTATTGGTTCGTCATGCGTCCAATGGTTGACTTGAGGTCTAGCCTAAGTTGTCCACTTGGGTTCACGGTCTTTCAAAGCCACTCTTAGTCAACTAGCATAGAGCGAAACCAAATCCCAGATTTAGCACATTTTGAACTAAGTTGACCCAAGACCCAAGGTGTGTTGGGCCCATTAGAAATCCCACCTTATGTCGATTTGACCCATTTGTCAATGAAAGACAATCATGCTTATGCGTTTAAATTTGAAGGATGTATACATCATTTGGCAAAACATGATCTTTTAGGGTTGGGAGTTTAATAGTTTGTTTGAGTAGAAGAAGGATCAAGTTACCATTTCATCCAAAAGCGTGGACATTCGGAGATGTCAAGAAATAAAAAAGAAGGATCGTCCATGGAAGCATAGTTTAGGATTGTACCTCTGCGTGGGAATGATCATTTGTATCCTTTTTCCCTACTATGTATCCCCTTTAAGTTTTATTCGTAAAATTTGTATAAATTTGGGTTTCGAGGCGATGCAATGTTTCAAACGACGTTACACATCCTTCGAATCGCTAGGCCTACCCTTTGCACAAAAGGGTCACATAATTGTTTAGAACGCGCAATATTTATTTATGTGTTATAATTGCTTGTGTGAATATGTTGCTTTATTTGGAGATATTCTAGCTCAATCCTCTTCAAATTATTTCTAGAAACCTTTAAGCACAAATATCAAGTTACTATCAAAAGTGCGTCCAAATATACTTTGAGTCTTTAGTTTCTCAACAAAATTTGAACTTCATTTTTCAAATCTTACTTTCTCATCTCAGAAAAAAAAAGGTTAAC